TCGAAACAGCTGTCCAGTGCTTCCGAGCTTTTCAGTTCACGCTTCATTTGCTATATACACGACGGATTGTCATTTGAAACTTAACCAAATCCTTCATTACCCACATGAAATATGAGGCGTATGTGAGTCCTGTCGGCGGTAGATGCAGAACTGAACATTCCTCGTGGGAAGGAAAAGAAGAATAGACCACGTCCACATTTCGCTAACTGGTTAACGAGAAAAGATTGGCAAAACAGAATCCAATAGCAACCGATTGTGGTGTAGTGGGTCCGCTAGTCACGATCCGAATTGACGATTGTCAATTACAGATAGTATCCCCCACCCCACTCCCCTGTTCGCAGTTTTGACAACTAGTATGCGTTTGTTATTTTACACATGCACACACCCATAAGGACACTAGGGAATGAGCGACAGATGGGATGAAGACAAATAACTGTGCCATTTGATAGCACAGCGCTTAAAACCAGTATTGAGTGAGGCAATTGGTCAGTGAACAAATGGATCTCATTGTGACTTATTTCTCTCGACCGATCCACGTAAGAAACAAATATGTCCGAATGTAATCTGCACAGTGGGAATGCTGGGAATGTTCACACGCGAGCGATCCACGTCAAACATTGACATTTCATGCTCAAATGGAAACGAAACAACAGGCATTTATTCGAGTGCAAAAGAGGGAAAACGAAAACACATTGGAACTGAAAGCTCTGGGGCCCCGAGATTGTGAATATTAGGAGATAAACAAATATCTGTGCATCCTCGAAGATGAGCTACCCGACTCAGGAAAGAAACAAAACAGTTATGAATTTTGCACAAGTTCAAACATCTGCGTGGGTGATTAAAATCTGATGGGAGAGCGGGAAAACCGACCAAACGAATCTCATGAAAGCCATTACTTACCACATGTAACTGAACAGAATGAATAAAACGACGAACAGTCTGCTTTATTACGTGGCGATAGGTTTTATTGAACACAAGTAAAAGCTGTATTACGCATACACATACACACATGGTGCAAAATATTCGATTGCTGGGTTTTATTAGCTGCCTCGTCGTGTCGGGATCACACAGATAAGTGTTATTTCCCCGGGATGAGAATCCCATCAACACCGACAGGTAGCGATGATGTTATCATAACGTAGCTATCATATAGCGGTCTTAATAGGCAAGCACTGCCCATTCGCACGACTGAAAACATAATTTAATCGCACTATACACAGAAAACTGTTGGAATACTCCTCCTGTCTTTAGGATGTATGTTACATTGGTTGGAGAAACCGAAAGCATATCACGCTCATTCCACCCCACACTCAGGTGAACGTAACTTGCTTGCGCGTGCACCACAAAACTATCCGCTTGTGCAATCATTATCAGAAAGTTTAAAAACGTATACTTCTAATACACTGTTATTATTTTAACTTGTTTTAGAACAAGCGTCGTATATATATATATATATATATATATCACGTGTTAGGTGAAACACCTCATTGGAACCTAATACGTCACCATAAACGTGTGCGTATTAATCACAACGCACAAAACGCGTTACTCAAAGAACTGAATACCGGCGAGGGTGTCAATTTAACCGATGGTGACCCACAGAAGAGGGAGAGCGCATTTGATTTCATGTGAAGCCCACTGCGTGGCTCGATATAGGCGGGACAATCGGGGGGAAGCTAAANATGTTTAACCACGAATGGGTGCAAATAACTTCACGGAATAACTGGTCTCGGACACTTGGCGGCAATGTCCGAGAATGTTCGGTGGCAATATCCGTAGCATAAAAAAACACTGGATTTGACCCGCCACCAAACAAAACTAACACTACTTCTCTAGAAGTCGTACAGGCTGTGAAAGGGCCATAAATTCGTTCTCCAATGAAAATCCGGGGTGAACCTTGAAAAACCGCTTCACCATACCATATGCACAAGATTATTCGTAGACTTCTCCATGCAGCCGACTTGACCTCACTTACGAGAACATAACTAGAAAGTACGGGTCAAGTGTGATACAATTATTGGCCAAGTGACCTCCTCCTTGATGATGATGTAAGCTAACAGAAATTAAAAAATTATGTGATGAAAGAGACACCCTCCGCGCTGTGAATGCGTTCTTTTCATTAATAATTGTTTTTTCTTATTTCCGTTTACGTGATGTACAACAAATAAACAGTAGTTCGCAAGTGAGCGATAAGTGACGAACTCGAAAGGTTCAGTGGTGCGGGTGAACAGAACAACCGCGGACGAATAAATTGATGAACATAAATCATTCCATTATTGCTGCTTGGTTTAAGCCAAGGGTACAACTACGGATGTTGTCAGTTGACGACGACAGCACGCCAAAAAAGGTACAAGAATGTCATCTTCTTTTGCAAACCAAAACAGATGTTGAAGCTGAAAGAAACGAACAAAAGGTGTCGTGACAGGTGATCAAATGAAGCATGGTAAATCGACTTTCATAAGATAGAATTGTGTGTACTATTGATTGGAACAGAAGCACTTTGATCAGCACGAAACTTGTGTACACGTGGTAGAACATCACACATGATCCGATTAGTGCTTTAAGGTACATGCATATCTCGTTCAGGTCCAGAGAGCTTACTCGCTATCACGTGACCTCAGTGAGGAGCAAAAATGCACAATGTATATGAAGACAGAGAGAGAGAGAGAGAGATAGAAATGAGATACACCCTTCCTTACCTCTTCCATTTCATGATACCGGGTCTTCAGATCCAACAGAGCTGATCGGGCATCCGCTTCGCGTTCCCGACACACGGCTAGGTCCGATTTTAATTGATGCAACGAATCGAATGGGATAACATTTGTTTTCGCAGTGGTGGACTGGCTACGACTAATGCGACGTCGCGGTAGTGTGCACAGATCCGAATGACTGGGGCAAGGTAGACCGGAATCAAATGAGTCTGTGGTTAGAACAGAGCTGTCTTCTCCATGGCCGTTAGTCAGCATCAGTGGATTATCCAGGACAAGTTCCGCAGGATGTGAATTATCCGGGGACGCCGATTCCCCTGGACCGACGGACGGACCGTTAACAAACTGAGAGACAGGCAGGCGGAAATGAGAGCCAAAGGAACTCGGGAACGAACGTATTCGGAGATTGCTTGAAAAGCATACAACAGCACATTTACAGTAGTGAACATGTAGTCCAGTAAGCAACCAGCTGTGGAGGAAACTATCAGGGGGAAAGACGACCCTCAAGACTGCTTAATTGACAATCACATCAGTCCACCTTCACCGAATTCGACGTGTCGGACTAAACTTACACAAAACAATTTGTGTGCGTGTGTGCTTATTCGCTCAATCGATGATACGCGTGGAGCACACAGATACGGGACAGGGAACGAGCGAGCAGGCAGCGTAAGTATGCATGCCGCGAATCTGCACATAAAATCTTCGATTCGTGCGCCTCCTGTTTTGGTTTTGTGTGCACATGATTGATGCTCTGACGGAACAGTCCACCATTCCAGGTAAGGCCCTACTCCTTTTTCAGGAACACAACAAATAACGCGAAAATGCACACTGAACGGTTTCTGTCCGCAATGAAATCGCACAGTGTGTTTAATGGGATGTTATCAAATGCGATCTCGTTCTCCATCTGACTCCCATGAATGCATACCAACGAGAATACTTTTCTAAAAATATGCATTATTCTTTCGATGGTCTGTTTACAATAAATGTGCTAACTCCTCGACTTTGCGCATACCCGTGTTTACTCTTAGCCTCGCTCAAGCCAATCTGTTTCCAAATGAAATCATTATTTTAATGAGTGGAATTAGTGGAAATTGATCGACACAATTTCGCCGTACGTCATAGTTTCGCCAATCCAAACAATCAAGCAAAACCGTAAACTAGGGTGGGAGATTATATAGCTATTTATTTACCATTCGAATAGCAAAACACGCTCACACAGAGAAAAATGCTTTACCCTTCACGATGTCTTGGTGAAGCTTCAGCTGCAAAAAACAGATGAACCAAATGATGAACATGAGAATTAGATGTTCTTATTCTGATCATATATTTTGCTCACTGTGGCTTCATTTCCTGTGTTACTTGTTTCATTGCTCCAACAAACAGCTCTTCGAAATGATTGCTTGGAAATGCCTGTCTGAATATCCGTCGAACCGATATGGCTCCACGGCATTTTGTATGCACCACGCACTTCCAAACCCGGTAAACCCAAATGCCCCGTACGGTTTGTGTCTGTCTGTCTTTTTTACTTCCTCTTTTATTTATTGAATATACAAATGTACAGTCAACATTCAGGAAGGGGGGCAAAGCCATACAAAGGCTGTCTGAGAAGCATTCATATGATCGTGCTGTATGGCTATAACAGTCAGTCTGCGACCAACTAGCCCAGTACTGTATCCCATCACCGAGATATGCAACCTAGGGACATAGAACCAAAGAACGCTTCGCCTGCTGCAAAGTCGATTACTTTGTCTCGTCCGCCAACGACAGTTGAACACCTTGATCTCCTGCTAAAGTAATGAAAAGCCGTCTCCGACAATTTCCGCCCCTTCAACGTTTCTCGCACATGTAAGTTCTCTGGTGATCTTGGGCGTGAACAACGCTGAGGTATTGGCCTCTCAGTAAGACCCTAACCCGATATTATACAATGATCCCACTCTACTTTACCACTTGCATTTTACCAGCACTCTTTTCCTGCATTGTATTACCTCCAGTATACACTGACAATCACACATGATCTTGCTCAACATCGCAAAATCCTTAGACCGAGTACGATACGAAAGTCCATTAACAGAACTTTCTATGTTCGGGTTTCCTCCAGGTCTTGTACTGCGAGTTCCATCTGCGTACAAGTTTACGGAGTTCTACCTCAGCCGTTTCTCGCGAATGCTGGCGTTTCCTGAGGTTCAGCATTTGTGTCCACTTCAGTCATCCAAAACTTTAAACCAACATTCATTCATTTGCCAAAGAAACCGTCCTCCGTTTTTCTCTTTCTGTCTCGCATTAAGTGCATCGCTATCTGCAACAGAGAGAATGAACACATGAACACAAGGACACACGCGGACCAGTGAGTGCAGTCATATGATGCTTCTAGGTCACCTACTGGATGACCCTCGAATACCTCGACTGTGTAGATCAAGACAGTTTACAACAAGCAGGTCCAATATTACTGCTGGAGGCCTATAGGGCGAAGGGACAAAGTTTTGATGTCAGAGAGAGAGCCAGATTATTCGTACCGTGACACCGAACTACCTAGCAACGAAGTGTAACTGCAGGTAGTGCAGATAAGCATGACTAACTTTTATGGCATCCACTTGGTTAATTGGGCAAACTGTGAATGTGTGTGATAGCCGAAACAACCGTGACTCGAAAGAATCGAAATCACACCGGGGGTTGTTTTCTTTATTACACACGAACGTGCAATCAACAACGGAAGGGGGTAAATCCGCAGTCACGAGTAGTCGCTTTTTAGCCATGGAACCCGGTAACTGAAACCTCGGCACCTGCAGTGGTTAACCTAAAAAGGTCCCATTAACATAGGCGTGGTATAGAACCGGGTGACAACGAAGCTGCCTTTCACTTAAGTTGGGTTGTCGTGGCGGGGTTCAGAGTTCAGACTCTAGGACCCAAAGCACACCGGCAACAATGACTTTCCGAGTAATACTCATATGAACGAAGGACACATACACTTTCAAAGGTAATATGTTAACGCACAGGGTTTGGTGTGTCCGTAAGTATTTCGCTCGGTTTTGCAGTACTTTATAAGTGAAATTCAAACTATTTCTTGCTATACTGAAGCACAGAACAAATGGATAGATAGATAGACAGACCAACTAATGTAGGTTGAATCAGGAAAAAACGATACGAACGCATTGACTCTTTTTGCCCGTGTAAACAGGCGTAATAAGAGCACGCGGAATTCTCGTAACCTGCATCAAATGAACCGGGTCTTAATTCGACTAGGCAGTCTACTTTTATATTCGTCTGTGGCATTGATCTCGAAATAGGGCCGTTCGTATTTTTATCTATCCTATCTTACCTTGATGTCCGTTTCTCGCAGTAAAAGCCATACACTCATGAGATATAACTCCCATACGCACACACACCTGAGATTCTTTGCACGGTGGCTCCGCGTGATCCGCCGCAGATCGGTCCATTTGAGACTCTTCTGTGTCTTCATCTTCCGAATCTTGTTCGGATGAGGTAGGGTCTGCTTGCTTTGCGACCCTGATAGTACCGTTGCCCCGAGAGGACAGAGTATCTACCGCAGCATTGGCCGCTGCTGCCATTGCCTCCGCGTGTGTCCGACGCAGCACAGATAGTTCACATCTTAGAGCAAGCATTGTTTCGGCTTCTTGGGC